CACCATAATTAGATTGAAAAAAAGTCACAAAGATATTTACACAATACAAAGTCAGTAACTCAAAATTATCCCATTAATTGCCAAAAAAAATAATCATCCAATCCATTAATTTAATCAGTGCATTCTACTAAACCAATCTTTAAGTCAGCCTTGGGCATCACTCAAATTTTAACCACAAAAATAACACCCAAGTTACTTAAAATCATTTCTCCAGACATCGAGATACAGATATTCAGATAATGAATTATCCATTTCACAGTTCGCAATTAGAAATAATACAGTTTCTAGTTGACTATTAGCTAACCCTAAGAACTGTTATAACCCAGCATCCTCTCCGGCAAAACCAAGACAACCTCAATCTCACTTGTAAATCATAAAACTACATAAATATGTTCATCAACCTAACAGAATTCCATTCGCAGATGCAACTTCGAAACCAAAACTTAAAATTCTGAAAAATGAATACTCGTAGCCGCAAATCTCCAAAAGCTATCCACGAAACAGCGAGACAGTGAAAGATAGAACACTTATCTGATGATTTTCCTAACATGTTCAGGAGGCATGTCCTCTTTCTGGGTCTCGACAAAACCAAATTTCCTCTTATCACTGTAACGTTTAGAATTAAGTTGCTGCCATTTTCGAGCTTTCTCCTCGAGCCGCGCCTCCGCATCAGCCTCAGTCTCCATAGGGACCGGTGCTGCAGGCGGTGGAGGAAGCACAGTATACGACGGCTGCGCGGCCGGAGGCGGAGGAATCGGAGGAACGGAAGTTCCTGGCGGCACAATCTGGCCGTTGTTCCACATCTTGAAAAAGACTGTACTCTTTCAGAACTTGAAGGTCCAGGAATTGGACGAGCTAATATGGTGTGAAATGATTGGGAATAGTTTCAGAGCATGATTTTGGAACAAAGAGACCTAAAGAACTCTACACAGGTACGTGCAGGTTCTAGGGTTTATGAGTGAAGGAAAAAATCAAGAGACAACAGAGAGGAAGTGAAATGGGACTTAATAATACTGGACGATGGATAGTTTGCCAATCACTAAAACAGTGGCACGTGCCGCCTTCTATCGAATACCGCCTTCACTATTGGATTAACTTTTATTGGGCTTCTTGTTTGGGCCCGACTGTAATAGGCCCTATTTTTTACCCAATCCTATTATTCCATGAGTCTTATTGTTGTTACGTGACTAATAATTAAACTTTGATCTACTAACAAGTAGGTTGGAAATAGGCAAGTTAAACTTTTAATATTATACAACTTGGAATATTCTATAAATTTTAAATTTGATTTATTATTGATTATAAACTTTTTTTTATAAAGTTGGAATATATCTTCAAGTTTTTCCAAAGTTTCGAGATATATTTTAAAATTTTAATAAGTTTTGTTATCATTAAAAAAACTTAACCCAAAGATTAAACACTTAAAAGATCTTTGACTCTAACATAATCCAATCTCTAAACTAATTTGCATGAACCTCATAGGAATTTTTAGAAGTCATTGATCATTAAATTAGTCCACTGGGTATGATATTTAGATTTAATTTTTTATTATCTCACAATATAATACACTTGATCTTAAATATAATTCAAAAATTACATGACTAATAATAAAAAAATGTAATGGATCAAGTTTCCCCACACTTAATTAAATGTGTTTGACTTTAAGAACTCCATATTTAATTGTGCTTGACTTTGAGTAATTTGGGGACGTGTGACATTCTATGAAAACTCTTATAACATGTGTGAGTGATAACAAAACATATTGAAAATTTATGTGCTAATTTGTGAATACATTTATTGATTCTAAAAGCAGTTAGGTGTCTTGAAAATGACTATCATGAAAGATTCTAATCGATGAAAGGTTTTAATCAACAAAATATTGAGTGAAGTGCTATCAAGTAAAATGTAATGCAATGCAATTGTTAAGACTTTGAATTTTAGGAACGTTACACCTAGGAGGTTCATAGGCGTGAGCAAGTTTTCACAACCATAAATTCCACTACTTAAAGTCATGACATGAAACCAAACAAAGTTAATGGGAGTAGGCATGACAATCTAACCCGCTCCCGTGGGTACCCGCCCGAACCCGCCCCGATTTGGATGGGGAAAATCCGTGTTTATCAAGTTCGGGTTCGAGTTTTCCCCGATTGATAAAATCGGGGGGCGGGAATGTTAATACCCACTCTGCCCCCGCCCCCATACCCGCCCTCGTCCCTGCCCCGCTTAATAATATAATTAATTGTAAAAATTTATATTAGTTTACTTTTCTTTTATTTTTTTAAAATTGTTCATATTTATTTAAAAGAAAAAAAGAAGAAGAAAAAAATAAGAGCGGGGGCGAGGGCGGGGTGGGGAAACCCGAACCCCGCCGTGGACGGGGATGGGGAGCCAGATTTTATCCCCGGCGGGTATCGGGGGCGGGAGCGGGGGCAGTTTAAATTTGTCCCGCCCCGCCCCGCCCCGCCCCGTTGCCATACCTAAATGAGAGTAAATGGGATTTCATGACCATGATTTAGGGGCTTTAAAAGCTTCTTAAAACTTATTCATTCATTTTTTTTTTACTTTTGTCGTTAGTATTTCCTTTCTAGATAACAAAATGATTTTATTGCTTCGACATTGAAATTTCAATACTCTAATAATTAACAAATAATTTCGTGAAACATAAATACAATCCAAGACATTATAAATTCTAAAAAGTGTAAAAATAACAAAAAAAATATGTGAAATTTTTGCTAAAATTGATGAAATCACACAACTTATCTAACTAAAATGCCTTATAAAAATTTAATGAGATGTAATGATAGAAGAATGTTAACGACACTTTTTATTAATATTTTGTATATTGTTAATCAAAATCATAATTTTTTTTATAGGTTTTACCACTAAATTTAGAGTAATGCTTGTTAAATGAGTTGTGAAACTCACAAAACTTGTATTTATTTCAATAAATTACAACCAATAATAAAAATATTTTAGAAAATTATTATTATGAATGTCACTAATATTTCTTATTATGATATGAAAAGTGTTAATAATAAACTTTTTAATAGATTTTTTTTACCACTTTCTTTCTTATTAGTTTAAATTCTTTGAAAATTATAAAATCAAAAGAGAGAAAATCATTTAAGAGGATATAACAGCCACCAATTTTTGTTAATTTCAATCAGCAAGATGAATTGTATTTAAATGTCTGTCCTCCTATTGACTTTCATTTCAACATTGTTTTATTATCTCAAACATAATATATGACAAATAGATGTTAGTATTTAATATATATTACATAACTTAATCACAATTTGTTCAAAAGAATATAAATTAAGCACTCACATTAGATATCATTAAAACGTTATTAAATGTATAATCTGGGGGTAGAAGAATAGTTTGAAATTGTGATATTACCAATTTTCAATAAAAAGAATTCATAAAGTGAATTTTTTACCTAAATATTATTTTTTTTAAAAAAAATACCCAAATAACCAATGTGCAGGTTTATTTACACAGATAGAACTATTCACTGTTCAAGCTCAGAATTCGGTTCCCGGGGAACCGAATTCTGAGCACCAAAATGTATTTTTTTTTGTTTTTTCAACTCAGAATTCGGTTCCCGGGGAACCGAATTCTGAGTTGCTTTTATATTTTATTTTTTTTTTCGTGTTTGCAGGGGAGACGTGGGCTGACGTTGGAAGCGGAACGACCCGTTCCGAAATCAGAACGGGCCGTTCTGCTTAAAGAAACAGAGTGGCATTTGTTAACGTGAAACGGGACAAGAACGGGCCGTTCCGACGTTAAGAATTAACGTTGAAATAGATGTTGGAAGCGGCCCGTTTTAAACAAATTGTTGTGGCAATTTTTTTAACGTGGAACGGGCCGTTTTTGTTTTAGAACAGCCCGTTCCAAGATAGATATTTACACATTTTTTTTACTCCTGGAACGGCTTAGGAACGGCCCGTTCCAGGAGCTGTTTTTACAAAGGTTTTTTGATTTGGAACGGGCCGTTCTGGTTTTGGAACAGCCCGTTCTAGGTAAACAGTAAAAACTTGTGTTTTTCTATAAATAGACCCTCTCCCCTTTAATCATAATGGATTTTTTCTTTAATCTTATACTTCATTTTGACTTGACAAAAGATGAAATTTTAGTCATAATTTAAAAAATACAATAACCAAAATTATATTTTTAAAATGTTAATTTGATCAAATCTTAAGAGACTTGGAATACATTTTACCATGCTTACTATAATATAATATATTGTATTGTGTAACTATGGTCTAAAATTAATGTAACATTAACAAAATGATATTTTGATTTGGTATTCATTTTTTTATATATTTTTTAAGAAAATTTGGTTGTATTTGTATCAATAATATGCGAAAATCTTATTGTATCCTAAGAAACTTACATGAGAGTTAAAGAATAAGTCGTTTAAACTATTGTCTATGAATACTATGAGCACGAAGTGATATAAATTTCTTGAGACGTATTATAAAGATGACAAAAATTTTAGTATTTAAAATATAATGATAATTAATTGAATTTTGAATCATGAGATTTTATTGTAAAATTAATTTGAAAATCAAATATAATTGTTGAATTAGAGTTCATTATTCTGAAAATAGTTGATTATGAATCTTGGTAGTTGAAGACCTTTTAGCAAATATTCTATTAAAAATATAAAAATAAAAAATAATGATATAACATTTGCTTAAAAAGATTAAAAATTATGTGTAGTTTATGTTGTAGTCAATAATGGATTTAAACGATCCTTTGAGAATATATTTTTTACGAAGCATCATTCACTAACGATTGTGATATGTGAAGCACAACGTCCTCAATCAAGATCCTCAAGGAATCGAGGGACCGTAACATCCTTTAAAATTAGGGTTAAAAAGCATTACCGTCCAATTAAAATTCAAGTTTGGAAAGAAAAAAAAAATTATTACAGCTTTGCACTTCATTCTTCGTGTTACTAACTGCAAGTCATGAACCACAAACTACACCATTCAACAAAAAAAAATTATATATTCATATATAAATAAAATGTAAGCGGTGAAGACAATATTATCCTAGTAAGTTACATTTAGAGTCTCCAAAGATTACAAAAGAGAAGTTAGGATAAACCAATCTAAATAAAAAGGCAGAAAAACTTTAAACTTTAGAGAACTTCTACACCTGTAGCATTAGACCTGCAAGAAATTTTCACATATTTTGGCAATTACAAGGTTTAACTTTTGGTTTTTTGTCCATTGTTCTGGTGTGTGACTGTGCACAAAGGCCAGACTTCACAATGGATGAACTAATTCGGAGAGTGCCCTGGATGCATTATCTTAAGTACATACCTAGTTCTTGAAATGGCCAGCAAGCCAAGTATGTGTAAAAGAAACTTGTCTTTGGCTGACATGGATCATCTCTGTGCTTCATCTGAAGAAGCTCCAACTGAAGTAGCTGCTATATTGCTTGTTGATCCATTCTCAATGGGTGGAGGCACACCCCATTTGCCTTCAGACTCAAGGGGCTCAAAAACATGAACTCCACCATCTGACAGTCCTACAGCAAACTGATTTGGTTCTTGAGGATGTGCAGTAATAACAAGAGGTTGTACGTTAGAACTGCTGCATAAAAACCAACAAGCTACTTAGCATTTTCCACAAGTACTGCAGAAAAGATTGTTAGTAGCCAACTTCAATGAAAACAGTTTAACTGCTTTGGATTTTCAATGATTTCAAACCCAATTCAATGGAAAATGAAAAACCATCACATTCACAATTTCATGCTCAATTTCAACCGACTAATTTAATAATGTTTTGTACCTTGTCATAAATGAAAATTTAGAAAACTGAAAAACATAAATTAGAACAAGTATCATCAAAGCATTACCTGACACTAGCAGAAAGATAAGCAGAAGGATTGATTCGACAGCGTAATCTAAGGTTTGAAGCGCTAAATACACAGACGGTCGCATCTAAAAAACTGGCATATACAAGTTGGCTATCACACGAGAAAGTTGCATGCGATATTGGTGCCGCAGAATCCCGTGGGAACCACTAAAATTCAAGTTCCATACATTAGGCAAAAGATAAAATCAATTATTTACAGTTAGAATAAAACTGAATTTATTGAACCAACCTGCTTTAAACATTCTAGTTTTGTTGCTTCATAAATGGCAAGCTGAGTTTCATGTACAACCAAGAAGCGGATCTGATCCTGATGAAACTGTACACGGGTGTCTGCCTGTGCTGGTGGAGTTCTCCCTGCAGGAAGTTGCAAGAATCTTGACTTCTGCTTTTCCCATCCATCAGTATTCCACACACAAAGCTGCAAAATAGAAAGAGATAACTCTATGATATACAAGCAAAAATGCTTTGCCAGGAGCATATAATTGATGAAAAGTAGTTAAAAGATGGAGTGCTAAACTGCGATTTTCAATACATTTAATCATAGAAAAGACAGATTCCAGAGAAAGATCTCAAGTGGACAATTAATACCTGAGCATCTGCTCCAGATGAAACTAGCACATTCAATACATGAGAAAAAGCAAGACCAGTTATTCTTTTAGTATGGCCTTTGAGTTTACTTTTAACCTGCGTAGAAAAGAAAAGGAAAAAACACATAAACACCTTATTACTCAAATCAAAACAGAGCAGGAAATGTTTATGAGCAGCAATGATACCTCATCTACACGGACGTTATATATTTGAATGGAAGAATCATCCATGCCTATAGCAATAATATTGTTATCCTGAGGATGGAAAGCAAGAAAAGTTGCTGCAGGTGGCGGAGGCATGAATGTTGTCATTGTCTGCAATTAGCCAAGAAGATTGAAATTGGTTAGTTGCATACAAAAAGTCTTGAATAATGACTAAGGATCATAGCCCACCTTAAAAGTCATCATATTGAACAGAGAAATCTTCCCTCCTGATGCTGACATTACATAAGAATCATTTTTTGACAGAGCAAAGCATGGAACGGCATCCTCAGTATTGCTATCAGTGATGTCATTAGTCATCAGGATGCCACTAGAAGGTTGCCACAACTGGGGTAGCACACTGGCAGTGGCCTACAGGAACAAATGTCATCAGAAAACAATATAATTCCTATTCCCAGTTATATGAATAGAGAAGAGTAATAGTCTGGTGACAGTAATTTTGCATATTCCCACACCTTGCCAGATGAATTACGGTCACTACGCTGCCACTTCCAGAGCAGATGAATGGCATTTGAAGCTAATGCCAGAATAGCATTACCTGAGTTAGTATATATCAACCTTGATATCTGTCATAACAAAGACGCAAATAATCAGAACAGTTTCAGACTTTGGAGAGGGGTAAGGGATTACAACAAGGAAATTCAAGGGTGGACTTAATATAGTATTTCTCAGTATAAAGAAATAAAGGGATATGGTAGAGCCCACGACTTTGATGGGTTGGAGGAGTACCAATTGCAAGATCAAGTCCATGCAAACAGACCATCTGGAAGGTTTAATAGAGAGAGAACCACAAGACAAAAAGTAGGGCAGTTACTGTGAGGGGAGAATTTACTAACTGCAACGTAAATTAGTTATTGTGAGAGGGGAGTTAAGTTTCTTTCTAGCTAGTTATGTGTTTGTGTTGTGGTGTAAGGAAGCAGAAGAATCTTGGCTCTGGATCTGTTCTTAAACAATGTTGCTTGAATTCAATAAAATTTCCTTTTCAATTCAGAACTGGTGTTTTACCATCATATTTTCTTACTCACCCACCATTCACCACACACAAAGCTATTGCTACTCCGACTCTCACCACTCCTACTCACAAACACAGATGCTTCACTGCTACTCCGTGCCAACAACATATACACATAGCTACTCCTACTCCTACCCAACACAGATATCTCATACTACTGTTACTGCTATTCCTCCTCCTACACACAGTCACAGCTACTGCTACTCCTACTACACAATCTCGTACTCCTGCTATTGCTACTCCTACTCAGACACACAGAGCTACTGCTACTCCTACTCCTCCTACTACATACAAACTTTTCAAGCTATTTCTACTAATATTACACACACACGTCTCATGCTACCACTACTAGACACACACCATGTGCTACCTGGCTCTGACATGAAAATGTTGTACACAGTATTTTGCAGATAGAAAAGTTCCGAGTTACAAAGTTACAAAATCAGAGGTATACACATTATATATTATATATACATACCCCTCTCCTTTGTTGTCCAATTAAAACCATGTACATTGAAAAGGGAAAATTTAAATGAAATAAAAAAACATGCTATGGAAAAGGGTATTTGATATAATTAATCACATGAAATACTTGAAATAATAATAATAATAAAAGAATACAGTTAGTAATTAGCATACCTTGTTCACTCTTACATTCTCAGGTAGCTTCAAGGATCTACATTGAGATGGTTCATTTATTTCAGTGAGTTTCCATATCTTTGACTTATCATTGGATTCTTCACTTATTCTAGGTTTAACATCTCCCATGTTTCGGCGGCCCGTTCTGATTTCGGAACGGGCCGTTCCGCTTCCAACGTCAGCCCACGTCTCCCCTGCAAACACGAAAAAAAAAAAAATATATAAAAGCAACTCAGAATTCGGTTCCCCGGGAACCGAATTCTGAGTTGAAAAAACAAAAAAAAATACATTTTGGTGCTCAGAATTCGGTTCCCCGGGAACCGAATTCTGAGCTTGAACAGTGAATGGTTCTATCTGTGTAAATAAACCTGCACAGTGGTTATTTGGGTATTTTTTTTTAAAAAAAATAATATTTACGTAAAAAATTCTCATAAAGTTGTTGAAAGAATTATAATTTTTAGGAGAAAGAAGGAATAGGAAAGTTTGCATTTTGGAAACCCTGGAATTGATATTGGAAGCGGGCGTAACTTATTGTTGGGAATTTGACCCATCCAAGAGACGAATATCATTGATTGGCATAGGAAAGCTCCTCCTCCCCATCCGCTCCACATATATGGTTTTGTGAGGAACCCTAATCCTATATTTTTGCATTTAGGGGGAAAGACACATAGAAGAAAACCGAAGAAGGAGAACGAGGCATTATCGTGATTGAACGATGTCTGCTGCGGTGTGCGGAAGCAAGAGATCTTTCTTCGAAGAGCTTCCCCCTTCTCCGCCAGTGTCCAAGAGGCTCCGCTGTTCCTCTTCCCCAATTCGCCTCTCTCTTCCCTCTCTCATCGACCACCTTCGCTCCCTCTTCCCTCATATGGATGACCAGGTTTCGTTATTCGTCATTCGTTAATCCTTACTTTTCCTCTTCATTCGTTGATTTCAATTTCAAATTCGGTTCAGGTCCTCGAGAGAGCGCTCCAACAATGCGGCAATGACCTAGACGCCGCCATCAAGAGCCTCCACGGCCTCTGCTTGGGATCTGCCGATGATACTTCTCAATCCGCTCCTCCGCAGCCTGACCCTAACGTCGTCCAAGCAGGTACCTATCGTCAAATCAATTTTAATTTATACCTCAATTCAAATTATTCTGCTATGGAATTCGAATCTTTCAATTTCCATTGGATTTTTCTCGTGTTTAATAACGTTTTGTGTGTTGACTGAAAGAATTTTATGGATATGATTTTTCTTTGCAAAAGTTGCAGGTGCGTTGGGAGAGAATGAGGATGCTTCTGCTTGCTCGTGACAGCTTCCATCAATTTTCCTGCTGATGGAGCGGAATGGATTGACTTGTTTGTTAGAGAGATGACTTGTGCTACGAGTGTTGATGACGCCAGAGCCCGCGCTGCTAGATTGCTGGAGGTTCTCGAGAAATCGATCACTGCACACGCGAGTTCCGGGGCGACAACTGATCTTCAAAGGGTATATGTTCGTATTTATCTTAATTATACATTCATTTTGATTGGTTTTGGGAATTTTGAAGGCTATTGTAAAGTCGAGTTGTTTGTCGTGGACGTAATTGAGTTAGCTTGTTTCTGGTGTCTTGGCATCTTACCTGTGGCTAAGTAAATGTCCCTGGCGTGTAGCGACATTAACATGTGATAATTGAAGCAGCAGTTGGATGATTGGGTAGTGAATTGTCAGTTTTGAGCTTGTAATAGTAGTACTTATCATAAGAGGTTTTTACTTTCAGGAAAATTTGATGCTGAAAGAGCAAATTGAAGCCTTGACTAAGGAGAAAAATTGTTTTAAAAGTGCTTTTAGAATCCAGCTTGAACGTCTTTCTGATTATGAGAATAAAAACCAAGAGCTGCAGCAGTTGAAGCAGTTGGTGTCTCAATACCAAGAGCAGATCAGAACTCTTGAGGTACAGCTTTGTCCCGGTTCAGTTTGCACGATTTACTTTTTACCAAAACATTTCAGTAGTTCTTGTATATGGGTTTTGAAATTTTAACCAATAACTGCATGAATTTTGAATGATTTCCCTTTTTTAAAATGGAAGACAAAAGGAGGAAATGACATGAGTGCTTAAACCAAAGAAATGGAAATGACTCAATGATAGTGATCGTGAAGAGATGCTAATGCATACTCATCCCCATGGGATTGAGAGTTGGCAGTAAATTCACTATATACAATCAACGACAGGTCTTTTAAGTGCATAAATTTTTCTTTCAGGCCGTCTCCCAATTTCCTCCCCTTTCTCTGGCTGTACTTGTGTTATAAAGAGGGCAGGGCCAATGCTGGGTTTATATCATAAGAAAATACTTTATAGTACAATCTGTCCATTGTTTCGGACAAGGGATTAATAGAGGTATCGTGGGCCAACTTGTAAAAACTTACGAGTTTACCTTACAGTTCCTGCATCTGTTAAACGGTTTAAGTTTAATGCAAACTCGTACACACTGTAGGATTTTTTGGGTTGCGATTTCTTTTCATAACAGAGAGCTAGTTTCTCTAAGATTCTCTCTCAAGCAACTTTTGATTTTTGGGTCCCGATTTCTTCTTTTTCTATTGTCTATTTTCTTCCATTCTCTCTATTCTCTTTCATTCGGACCAGAGTTCCATTTTGATGTTTTTTTGTTTCTCTCCACTTCACTTATCATTTCATCTCTCTTTTTTAGTGTACTGTATTAGAATGTATTGGGATATGTATGCACTGACCTGGGAGCACAGAATAAAATACTGTTTTTTGTTTTGTGGTAATCTTATTAAATCGAATAAGATACTAGTATTGTTATATTGTATACATTATATAACCGATTAATAATTATAATGGTGGATGAAATTCTAAGATTAACAATCATCCCTTATTTATATATATATATTTTTAATTTTAAAACTTTTTTATGCACACTGATGAATACTGTGTCTATGGATTTGTTGACAGGTGAATAATTATGCATTGCGAATGCATTTGAATCAGGCACAACAGTACAACCCTTTTCCCGGGCGTTTCCCTCCTGATGCATTCTAGGTCGATCAGTATGTAGTATACCATAATTGAGGCAGTAAAATAGCTGCATCTGGTTAATTATGTTTGGTGTTTCTTCCCATCCCACCCCCCACCCCCTTCCCCAAAAAAAAAAGCGTGGTGTTAAATTGTTGCAGTTTGTGTAGCTCCTGTAGGTCAAGGAATTGTAGCTCTTCCTAGTTCAGGGGTGATTCGGATAGAATTTGACATTACAGATAAGATTATTCAGCAGTTAATTCAATTATTTATTCCCCATTTAGCATCGAATGTACTGTAATTACTAAGAATGTTCAAGATCACTTTGATGTACCATCACAACAGTACTACAAATTATGTGTTTATTTTTCTTGGTCTTGAGCTTTGTTGCAGTTTGGTTGTTCCATACATGCTAATATTGATTTCCATTATAGATGTGGTATATATAGTGAGACCAGCTGGTGTTGAGTTCAAACGGTGCATGTTTGTTTCTTTTTAAGTATTATTTGAGTCTGAGTATTGTCTACGAAAAAATATTTGCTGTCTCACTATGTTGTAGATTTTTATAAATTACAACTACTTTAAGTTTGTTTTTCACAGAAAATACTTGAGATCTAGATTAATAAAAGAATTTAATTGTCAGTTTAATTATTTTTATATGTAATCAACCAATAAGAAATTATTATAAGAAATGAATATTGTTTTGTCTTAATTATAAGAAACATAGACATTTTAAATATATTAATTGCAAGTTTTTTATACCCCCTTATTATTTATGATTAAGTTTATCAATGAAATACTTACTCATCTATTGTACAAGTGAAAATACATTTATTTTTTTATTACCCATACAAGTTTTATTTATTGGTAAAAAAAAATTCTCTCTTACATTAGATAAAGTGTCATTAAGTGTTATCACTACTTAAACCATATACTTAAAAAAATAATTTTTGAAATAAAATTTACTTATTCTCATCCTTATACGTATATCTCTCGATTTATCGGATTATAGGCTAATTTTGTTTGAAGTATTTTTGTACATGGCATTAATTGAATAAAAAAAATATGTTGAGAGCATTTTCTATTCTCAAAATAAAGAGCGAAAAAACAGTTTTAATGTATATAAAAATAATCAAATCAATAACTATAAGATTATATCTTGTATAAAAATAATTAAATCTACATATAATATTTTTTTTTTAGGAAATGAGTTCACCTTCAATTCGAAAGGTATCTTCAAAATTTGAATCCCGACGATTATAGGTAAAATTTGTCTGAAGTACAATTCACTTCAACCGGAACAAATCACAATTGGGTTCAAAGTAGTGACCAACCAAAATTCATTACGAAAATCCTTTCTTTTCCGATTTTCCTCAGCGAAGACAATAAAAAGAGGGAGTTATTATGGTAACTTTGTAAATAGAGATATTATGATACAATCAATTTTTTTAAATTAATAAAAATGATGTAAAGTGTGAAAAAAATTTATTTTAATTTTTTTCTTTTATATTAAGTAATATATTTTTATAGTAATTAATTAATTTTTATTATTATTAAATATTGGTCTAAGTGATTTAAATCATTTTGTAGATATTAAAATAATTTAGAAAAAAATACCGAAAAAACCTAAAAACTACAAAAAAAAAACTTTGAGAAAAATACAATAAGATTCTATTTGCTAAAGTTGAGAAATATTTTGTGAATTTTTTTATTTAACTTATTCTTTATAATTTATGTACAAATATAATTTTTTTTAATTTATTATGACTCATAATATATATAAAAAAATATTTGTACTAAATTCAAACATTTCATATATATATGAATTAAAAAGAAGTATTGAAATAAAAAAGATAAACATATTAAAAATCAAATAATTCTAAATCAAATATTCACAAATTAAAAGAAACAAAAATATAAAAACAAAAATAAATTCAAAATTTGAATATAAGGGTAACTTAGTATTTCTCATAATAATAAGTGGTTTTTTTTTACATTTTCTAATTTTCAACTTTGCACAGAAGCATACCACACAAGTTATCTTGTAGGTCCCACGAAGTCTCTCCCTTTCTGATTCGTAGCAATGGCAGTGCCATAAAAGCTGACCTTTATGCTTTGCACACATAGCCTAGTTCCCACCCACAAACGCGCGCAGACTCAGCACAGTAGGTAAGCAAAGCAAAACCATGAACGCAAACAACTCTTCGCTGCACTCCCTCTCTTCTTCTTCTTCTTAGCTTTCAACCATTTTCGTTCCGTTCAACTTCCGCATTCACTCAATGGCCGTTACATCCCTCTCTCTTCTCCCTCCCTCCACGTGTCCCTGCTTCTGTGGCGCCATCCATCTCCGCTCCCACAACGCCTTCATTTCCCTTAACTCCTCTTCTCCCTTTCCCTCTTTCTCCACAATTCCAAATCCCAATCACGCTCCCACGCGCCGCCGCTCTCACACTGTCCTCGCCGCCTCCTCTGACTACTACACCACTCTCGGAGTCCCCAAATCCGCCTCCGGCAAGGAAATCAAAGCCGCCTATCGAAGGTTAGCTCGTCAGGTATCCGATTTTACCCGTCGTTGCTTCTTTCGTTCAAATTGATTGCGAATCCCAAGCTGACTCCATGCCTGTGTTAGCTAATTAGAAATTGTAAGGGATTCCACGTGGTTATTTTGTTTTTCCATGCGGATTTTTACGATTTCGTCTTGGAATTTGAACTGTGGAATGTACCTGAAAGTGTGTTCCTAATTTGCCTGATTTTGTGTTCAGTACCATCCCGACGTAAACAAGGAGCCCGGGGCAACTGAAAAGTTCAAAGAGATCAGTGCTGCTTATGAGGTATGCATGGAAACTACACTGCTCAGTGCTGAATGTTATGTTAAGCCTTATTTGCAGGACATGTATGGATGTTTAACATCACCTCCAAAAGCAATCTACTGAATTATTGCTTTAGGAAATGAATGGATGGGTGTTTGGTTTGGGGTCCCAACTTCCACATTAGAGGCACATAGGCTTTGGTCCATAATTAACTTTTGGGCCTGTTTGAGTAAACTTTTCTAGAAGCACTTCTAGGAGAGCAAAATAGGAAAAAAAAATGAAATAAGCTAAAATAAACTCATGTATAAGCTATTTTGTAGAAACTCTTTCTTATTAGTTTCTCCAAAAAGGATAAAACTTAGATGTAGTTCCTTAAGTACTCTTAGTGTTGATCAGCGATCAGAATCGAAGTTTCATCTTGGTAATTTATGCTCCCCTTTAATGCAAACTTTTATTTCGCAGATTATTGAAAGGAAATTCCAATTCTAATTGGAAAATAGTATCAAAAGTACATAAATAACTGCACCTAAGTTTTGTCTATGATAAAGAAGTAACAGGCTATTACTCTAAAATATCTCATTTTTTTTATAAGATGACAGATCAAATCACAACAGATTACACCCAAAAGTGATGAGCAAAATTGATTACCACCAAGTCATGGGTGTCCGTTGTGCAGTTCAAACTTTCATATTTATTTATTTACTATGTGCTCTGTCTTGAAGGACTCAACATCAAAAGTTTTATGATAGTCATTACTTGTTACTCTCAACTGGGTTGGTGGAAATGCCTGAAACTCCTACTTTATTCTGGAACAATGGCATGAACCTGTCTTTGCAGTCATAACACTGAATGTACAATTATTTTAAATTATATTTATGTTATTAGTTGTTGAATTCTGAATTACAACACTGTCAGGTGCTATCAGACGATAAAAAGAGGGCTTTATATGATCAATATGGCGAGGCGGGAGTTAAGAGTGCAGTTGGAGGAGGGTCAAGTGCCTATACGGTATTCAATATGTTTTTGTATTTTTGTTTTCATATGTAGTTTTTGGAGCAATACATATTTGAAAGGATGATTCAAAGTTTACTGGTCAGCAGAATTAGTGGTTAATGTACCAATAGCTCCAATGCGCATAAGTTGTCTATTTTTTGGGATAAAAGAAACTGAAATGCATGGCAATTGAAGTTGTGTTTTACACTATCCACTCTTTTTTTGCTGCTTCCATAAGGTAGATTTATATTTAACGATCTTTTTTTTTTTGTAGACAAATCCTTTTGATTTATTTGAGACATTTTTTGGGCCAAGCATGGGTGGCTTTGCAGGCATGGATCCAACTGGATTTGGAACTCGTCGTCGTAGTACAGTTACTAAGGGTGAAGACATCCGGTGAGTTGGGGATATTTGGTTATTCTTCTTTCGGCCATGTTAGTCTGGTGAATGATTACTATATTTAGCTAGTTAACATAAATATTGCTAGTGTTTGAAGAGGACCTTGGCACATTTTGAAGAAAGTCAAGAAACTTCTAAAGAAGTATTTATAGGAGAAAAATAAGACGATAAAACAGATCCAACTTTTTTCTTAAATTAAAATCAATTTATCCATCTCAACTTTTTATGAGCTTTGTGGTCTAACTCCTCAAAAAGTAGAGTGCACAAGTTATTTTTAACTTGTGGGAGATGTTTGGGCTCTTATTCTAAATTTATTTTTTGTTATCTTACAAGTTGAGGTTTGACTACATGTATCTGACGGCATTGAACTCGATTAAAACCAAATTCACAGGGATATTATTATCCTTGAAATCTTTTTTAATAATTATCTTCAATGTCATTCTTAGTCTTCCTCTGCAATCTATCACTTTCATATGGTTATAAATCATGCAATCTATTTTCGTCATTAGTGCCTCCAATGGCCTTCTTTGACGTGTCAAAACTACCTTAATCATTTTTTTGTCATCTTTTTCATTGATATACCAATATCTCTTCCTATACAGTTTTTTTCTGTGTCTTGTACTTTCTTGTATTGTCACACATCTGTCTTAACGTTCTCAATTTTGCTTCTCTATTTTTTTTTTATACTTTTTTCCCTTTAAAGTTCAATATTCACTTCCATGAAATATAGTTGATCTTATAACAGTATGATAAAACTTTTCCTCAAGTTTTGTAGACACTTTGTGGTCGCAAATAAATAATCCCTGATGTTCTTCTCTAACCCCCTCCCCCAAACACACTTTTTTTTTTTTATCTCATGTATTTCTCCATCATTTTTAATATTGATTCCAAATACTTAAAATTAGAGAAAACATGAACGTGATGTAGAGAAAAAATGAAAAAGAAAAAACCCTATTTATATTATTAATCTTAGTCAAATACCAGTGCAGTACAACTAGAATAAGTCTAGCCTGATAACACTCATAACATATAGACACAATATTACTCTCCAACACCCCTTGTTAAGGACCTTAGGTACAAGGAACAAATTAATAAAGGGGAAACATAATTGGAAAAAAAATGCTTTGGTTGGGGGATGACGAGAGTTTAGGGGGAGTGGTTCAATTTGAGACATTAAGTTGACACTAAAAATGCTTCTGTATATTATACAACCAAGAACAGGGTTGGGGAAAAAGAAAACAAAGATTTTATTGATAGAATGAGATTGAACAGAAAATAGGAGAGATATCTCTCCTACAAGGGTTTCCCTTCACAAACACAAATAATTTCTCCTTTCACAATGAGCAAAGATCAATCTGCAAAATGACAAGATTGAATGCATCCTTTCCCCTTACATTCTCCCATTTATTTAACTTATTAACCCCCTGATTAACTAACTAATTATTATAACTTCTGTAACTCTTAACATAAAATATCAATATGGGAAATTTTTTTAGCAATAACTTTTTCCAATTATTATTTGATGATCTTAAATTCCAATATTTAATATTTTATATTATATCCTATCATATCAATTCTTTATTCAGAAATGTGAATTGACAGTTCTATATATGCAAATATTACAGCTTCCAAACTTAACGAGAGTTTACTGTGACTTGAGAAAACTTTTGATTCAAATGTCAACAGGTATGATTTTTCCTTGGAGTTTTCTGAGGCAATTTTTGGAACAGAGAAAGAATTCGAGCTTTCTCATTTAGAAACATGTGAAGTCTGTACTGGTACTGGAGCAAAGATAGGCTCCAAGATGAGAGTATGTTCAACATGTGGTGGGAGGGGTCAGGTGATGAGGACCGAACAAACACCTTTTGGGTTGTTCTCTCAGGTAATTTGAGTTGTTTGCCTGATGGGTCTGGATATCATTTTTTTTTTCCAGTGCAGAACAAAAAATAAAATGGTTTGGTGTGGTAAGAAAATTGATACGCTAACTTATTTATGGCGAATAAATTTCTTCAATGGGAAGACATTCTGCATGGTCCTTTGTAATTTTCCATTTCTTTTCATGAATTGTAGACATCCTCATGCTTTACTTTATGGGAATAATTGATTTATGTTTAAATCAATTGCTTATATTACTTCATCACTCATCAGTTCATCTTCATTTCATATACAGTTTTCTTACACAAGGTAAAAACCTTGTACATTTTGTCTGCCTGAGAGTACTATTCTAATATAATGTAATCTCTTTTTCAATATTAGGTTTCTGTATGTCCAAACTGTGGAGGGGATGGTGAAGTCATATCTGAATATTGTCGTAAATGCAATGGTGAAGGACGAATACGGGTTAAGAAAAATATTAAAGTTAAAGTTCCTCCTGGTGTTAGCTCAGGCAGTATTCTAAGAGTTTCTGGGGAGGGTGATGCTGGACCTAGAGGGTATGCTGTATTTATATAAATATCTGGTCTTCTTGTTGCGGATGTCTTTGGTCAATTATTGAATAAAAGTTATAGAGATTTTGTGTTTTGTGCTTTTATTGTAAATGCAGCATGATATACATGCTTCCATCAATAAGTTTTTCTTGCTCTTTGACGAAGGGTGGATATTTCAAAGTAAAAGGAGCATTAATATCTGTTCTCCTAATTCTAAAGAAATATATATAATGAAATGAATAGGAGTTAGGAAATGGTTTATTTGTATGTGAATTCAAGATTCTTTTATAATTCGAGTACATGATTTAGAAGTGGCTATTTATCTTGTCATAGCAGGGGCCCTCCTGGAGATCTTTATGTATATCTTGATGTTCAAGAGATACCTGGAATACAAAGAGATGACATTAATCTCAGCTCAACAATATCAATCAGTTATCTAGATGCTATACTGGGGACTGTTGTGAAGGTAAATTAATCTAGTCACTATTCATGCTTTGAGCTCGAGTATTTTTTGGATCAGTGCCTATAGGCTTGAATTGCAGTTTAGGTCCTCTGAATTTCAATTGCAATAACATTATTCCTGTAGTTTTCTTTGTTATCCATGTCACCAAGTGTAAAATTGACACTTGATAGTGTTCTCTAAACCCTGGTATTCCATTCAGGTCTTGGCCTTAAAATATTTTTTGCAAAAATAATGCTATATCTGCCCCACGTAATGGTAATGGTAATGGAATGATACTTATATTCAAATTTTCCTTTGGATGGAATTGTGGCGTGATAGATATATATGGAGGAGTTTATGTACCTTTCTTATGTTGGCCCTTAAACGTAGCTAGTTCTACCAGCTAGTAATTTTGTTGCCTCGTGAGTGTCACATGAAAAAAGTCAGAACTTGTGTCACCTAGTGATATTTTTGCAAACATGTTTGGCTAATAAGATTTTGTTTGACTGAATTTATAGTCTTCTCTTCTTTATGTGTTATGATATTTTTTTCTTTTTATTATATTGAATGTTAAGGTAATAAGGTTTAATATTTGCTGGTTATTTTGAGTAAAATAAAATAAAATTTGCTGGATATTTAATTTTTTCCCTTAGCTTTTTGTGTTCTGGTATATCAATGCTGATGTGACTTGTTAACTTGTGCCTTTACCATCGATGGATCAAATTTTGGCTCCTAACACAGGTAAAGACAGTGGAAGGCATTTCAGAACTACAAATACCCGCTGGTACCCAACCTGGAGATGTCCTTGTCCTTGCAAGAAAAGGAGTACCAAAATTAAATAAGCCATCAATACGTGGTGACCACTTATTTACAGTTAAAGTTACAATACCAAAACGTATTAGGTATTGAGTCATTTTATAATTCTGATTTTGTCTCTGTAGTTCCTCCCTGCATGTCTTGTTCTTTTGTCCATATCTTATTACTGATCACAAGTTTGATATCAATTGCCTCTGCATTGCATCTTCAGTACAAAGGAGCGTGAGTTGCTTGAAGAACTTTCTTCTTTAGGTGACACAGGCAGACGTTCCAAATCCCGTCCTAGGACTCATTCTACCAGTAGGTGGCTTTTTTCCCCTCCCTATCATACGATACATCAGAACATCTATTCATTTGAATATTTGAAAACATTAATATTTTATATAGCATGACATTTGGTTAGGTCTTTACAACACGTTTTCAAGTTGCAATGGAGAAATCTTGCAATGCAATGAGTAGACACTTTATTTGAGTAGTGAACCATATTTTTACCTTATGTAGCAGGTGGTACGGAAGGTCCTGCATCTCAAAATTACGAAACTCCAACAGCAACCGTTGAAGAAAAAACCGAAAAACCAGAAGATGAAAATGATGTATGGAATAAATTGAAGGACTTTGCTGGGTAATAAATTTCTCTTATTTTATTTTATTTTTATTTGTTTTTCATCAATGTGTAGATTAGAGAGCTAAATTGAAAACTTTGGTTCTGAAATTAATGACTAATTTATGCAGAGCAAGAGAGCAACGTGCCTCTTTTTATGTTATAAAAACAATTAAATAAAGCATTTAAGTTTTAGTAGCATGGAATTAAAGAATACTTAATATTCCATGAGCTCTTACAACGATTTGTTTGTGTCTTATATAAGTTTGAGCATAGATTGTGTTCTTTAATCTTATATCAATTTCTCTAGGCACTCTAGTGCTATTTTTTTCCAAATAAGAATTACTGCCTCCGTTTTTTATTCATAATCGTTTTGACATTATTTTTTTGTTCTTTTTTCATTGTCATTTTTCTAAAATCAATGACTTCTTAATTTTCTTTTTCATTTTTATCCTTGATAATTAATGTGTATTTACTGAACAATGTGTTTATTCATTTTTAATGTACCTATTTCTTCTCTAACCACTTAAAGGGTATAATAAGAAAATAAGTAATAAATATTTTGAAAAACTAAAATATCAATCATTTTCTTAATTCTTGTGCATAAACCTTAAACATGAAACAAAAAAAAACGGAGGGAGTAATTCTTGGTGCATATATGCCCTTCTCATTGAGTTGATACATAGGAATGGAGATTGTGGCTACTGTGTTGATGCTTTTTATTATTGTTCTAGTCCTCATGGAAACTTACCACCACTGAAACTTGCAGATCTGTGGCAAATGGTGCTTTAAAGTGGCTAAAAGATAACCTCTAGTCCCATGGGATTATTGGGTGGACCAGAGTCTCCAAGGTGTAGTTTACCTAATGTGGGTTAAAGTTGTCATGATTCAACATTTACTGGAAGGAAAGGGACTAATGCAGACGTTTTCTCAAAATCCTTTAAATGATTTTTTTTGCTGTCCAGCAAAATCAAACAAGTAGTGATCAGATTCTTTTATTTGTAAATTTTGGCACAAGACTATTTATACAGAATAATTTGTTTAAGGATCGTCAAATTGTACTCTATGAGCAGGTTGCACTGAGATAAAGCTAGTGTATATCTGATAAGAAGTCTAAGCTCTATACGAGTGAATTACATAAATTGTTATTAAGTGAATCCTTATGTTTAGTGTTTCTTTTTAATAATGAACAGAGTGATCCAGTAAACCATTAAATTAGTCTCAACATTCAGACTTTGAAAATGAGAAAAGTAAAGTTTATTTCTTGAATTGACTATTAGTTATTTCAGTCTTTAATATTAAGGAGCCAAAATTTGAACTGACTTCGGTTATTAACTTGTTATCAGTTAGTTTATGTTCCTGATTTTACAGTGCATCGTTTTATTTGGTTCCTAAAATCAAGGACCAAATCAAACTGATGGCTATGGAATGGAATTTAAAGACTAAATTGATAGTATTTTTCGAATTCATAGACTAAATTAATTGACTCTTTAATATTAGAGACTAAGTTAACTAGTAGTGTTAATTTCAAGGATTAAATTGATTAATGAGTGTTATATTTAAAAATTAAATTTTCCATTTTCATAATGTAAGCAATTAACAGTTGATGTTTATAATTTGAGAGACTAATTGGTAAATTGACTCAAAGTGATCTAAAGAAGATTAACCTTGTCTTTTTCACAGTTGATGTCTGCTGACAATAAAGAAAACCACCACGAATGGGCCTTTGCATTTAAATATTGATGTTTATAATTTGGTGTATTGATTCAAAGTGATTTTATATCCTTTAGGTGTAAAAATATTTATACTTTTTAATTTATGCATTTTTATGTATATTTTTAAAGAGCAATAATATATAATTATTACATAAGATAAAATAAACTATACATTCTCATGTATAATATTTATTATTATGTAATAAAACTTATTAAAACTAGCAGAAAAAAGACACGGCCTCCATTATATTAAAAGAAAAAAATAAATAAAAAAGAAAAAAATGAGAAGTTAGTCATAAAAAAAAGTAGTTATTGAAAAATAAATAAAGGATAACATGATCCATGTAAAAATGAAAACTAAAAATAGTTACTAAAAATAGTATCTCTTTTAGATATTAGTATAGATTTATTAATTTCAAGTTTTTAAAGTTGATTAAAAACTAAAAGGGTATCCCCTTTTTAAAATAAAAGGATATAATGGTCAAATAAAAGTAGAGACTACTGAAAAAGGGTATCCCCTTTATATATTAGTATAGATTATGTGTAACTAAAAGATTAATCTTACATAATATATTATTTATGTATATTAGTAGAATTGAGACACGATACTTGTTTAAAGGTATTTAAGAATTATCAATATTTGTTAAATTATTTATTATTGTGTTTTGTTTTTAAACTTTTAAATTTTGGGTTTGAGTCTTGAATTTGTAAGAATAATTAATTTTTAATGTAATTTTTTATTATTTAAAAATTTAAAGATAAAATAATTAAACTGTGTACATGAAAATAAAAAATTACTTTTATATATAAATATATAGATATAGATAAATGTTATTGTTAGTTTATTTTTTCTTTTTACGGGTGAAATATATTTCATTGTTTCTCATCTATTATATAATGATTACACTTGTTTCTACACCATTTTGGTGAGTGCACCATGGCACATTCAAATATCAAAGTGAAATATATTTTTATTACTTGTAAAATAATTTTTTAATAAAAAAATCTCTTTATTTTTATTTTCTAAATTTTTTTATAAAATAAATTTTAATTTTGTAATTTTAAAAATTAATTTTTATTCCACTAAAATTCTATGACATTATTTTTTATTTTTTACTATTATTTTTAAGTAGATAAATGAAATTTATTTTAAAAATCTATGAAATATTTGCAAACCGATAAGCAGTACGACCAATTCTTGTTCAGCGATTTTACCGCCTTTAGAAAGCCGCACTAACGGCTTTATTTTGAATGCATCACAACCGTTGAATTCACCATCTAATGCGTAATCTCAGCCGTCCATCACGACCCTCCCCTTAAATATAAACCTCCTTGGCCCAGTTATTTTCCTCATTCTTTCCTTCCTTCTTAAGTAGGTTTCTGTCTCTTATAGGTTATTCATCTTCTTTTCTATTATGTTTCGATTTCTTAATCTTCTCCGTTGTTTGTTTGGCATCTTTTCAATGAGTTTTGCTTTGCCGACTGTCATGCTTCTTGCTGGTTCAATTTTAATCGAGACTGTGTTGGGTTTGGCGATTGACACGAATATTTTGAGATACCAAGAGTTTCTTTCTTGGATGCAGTGATTTCGGCTGGCTAACAGCGTCCATGATTTGGCCATGACTCCTTGGGTTTTTGAATTCTTGGAAATTTTCTTTTGGTTTATGATTTGGGGATGACTTTCGCTTGGCCCTTATAGGGAGATAAAACAATGGAGACTATGACGGACTGTTTCTGAGGTTTTCTTATGTGTTTTTGGTGGTTTTGATACTGTACGGTAAGAGATCGTTAGAAGAACTCTAGTTTATGCATTTGGGAAGCATGGTTTGGAGAATTCTACCACTCTTCTTTTTACTAATCTTTAACATAATATAGCCTATAAAAGTTTCCCCTCTTCTAATTGAGTGTCCCCTTCATCGGAGTGGCTTCAGCAAGAGCGTAGTTGACACTGTTTTGTTTCCCCTCTTCTAATTCATTGATTGCAATAATTGAATTTTTAAATTCTCTTTGTGCAGTTTAGAGTTTGACCGATGATGGTTGCAGATATTAATAGATAGTATAGATATTTTTATTATTTATTTTTATATATAGAATATTTTCTTGGTTGCAGAGTTTCTATGTGGGATATCCATTGTGTTTCTGTATCAAGACTCTTACCTGAATAGTTTCCTTATTATTTGCACTGTTTATTTCACCAAGGTCGAAATTCTTGCTGATTGAACTTTTTCTGTTAATCTCAGTTTGAGGGGTTCTATGATCTAATACTATGAGCAGTTTTGGTTTGTCTGTATTTGCTTCATGAATTTCCCTTTCGGGTTTTAGAGGAAAGATAAGCATTGTGAGTATCCTGGAAGCAGCGGCAGAAGAGTATGGACTGACTGTCTTAGTTTTTATTATTTCCCTTGATTCCATCACATTGTTTGTTATTGCATTAGCTATCCTCTTCTGTGGGTTTTGGATCGGCTTTCTGTATCAGGAAATCTCAATATTAAAGGGGAATGGAGTTTCACATGTTTCTGGAGAATTCATGTTTCTTTGTATATAGAACAGTTTGGTTAGGGTATTTATCTCTGTTTCAATTATCTAGTTTGGTTCGTTGAATTATGCACATATATCTCTCCTTATTGGTTATTCTCTTCCATAAAGCAGCCCATTTTGAATGGAAAGATAACATACGTTTCTAAAGTATCTATCTGCTACATGGGTTCTCAGTATGGGATGTCTTGGTTACAGTTTGTGTAGGATTTTGGGCCTTTTTGGATATTGATATGAAAATCTCAAGAAATTTGATAGTCAAGTTGCTCTTCTTTTATGTCAATCATTTGAAATATCATTCATCATTTGATCATGGTGATTTATCATTTGATGCGTGTTCATCTAAATTCTTAATGTTCACTTTTTTGTAATGTGATCTTCGGTATCGGTAGTTTATGAATTTCGTCATGCATATGGATTGAATTGTGAACCTCTTTTCTTGCGTTATAGAGTATTGTAGATTTGTGTTATGTTCTGCGTAGCCATCCAACCTCGTCCATGATTTGGTGATCTCTTCCCTGAATTTTGAGGTCTTTTGATTCTACCTTTTCTTTTCTCTGGTACAAGCCTTTCTCGATTACCCTTCCATGATTTCTGCTATGGTTCTCACAGGGAAGTCAAGCAGTGAAAGTGTGGTTGTCTATGAAAGGCAGTGTCTTTGTTTCTGTAATTTGGTGATCTTTACTCTAGATTTTGAATTCTTGGATTTGTCTTTTGTTTCTTTCACTGGTTCATTAAGAAAAACTTTCGCATTGGTAATTGTACTAGTCTTTAGCAGGAACTGGTTTCATCCTTCTCAACTATGAGGCTTAATAAGGTATTGTATGATGATGCTTTATAGGGAAAATGAGGAATGTAGAAGCAATGGTAGGAGATTACTACGGGCTAACTTTGGTGTAAATCCATAGGTTTCATTACCTATGATACGATTGTATTTTGTTATGTTTATTCTGGACCGTTTATCTTCTTCTATTGGTTTTGGATCGGTAGCTTTGACTGTGTAGTGTCTTGGCAGTGTTAGAGATCTTGGATGTTTCTGTATCATGCATAATACAAGTATTAACGGGTTCTGGGGCTTGATTTCCTTTCTGATTTGGCTTTTCCTCATTTGTATTTGTCTTATTATGAGCAATTTTGTTTTCCCGATTTTTATTTACTTCTTCTCTATGGCTCTTGGGATTTATTATATACGTTCATTTTTTTTATCGATAATATTCCATTCTGCATAGGCTATCTTTTCTCATGGTCCTGGATTGGTTGTTTTGAAGGGGTACGGTAACCTGGCAGTGTCAGCTCTCATGTTTTTCTGTATTAGGAGCTCTGGAATTTAAATGGTTTGGTTTTGTTCTGTTTCTTGGGAATCCATTTACCGGGAACTCTTGATTTAAATGGGACTGCTGCTCAGTTAGGGTCTTTATCTCTCATTTCTGATGATCTGTATTTTGGTTTGGGGAATTATGCTAGTATGATTGTATGATCTATAACTTGGATATCCTCTTCGTCAGAGCAGCACCTTTTGAATAGGCTTTTCTTATTTATTTGTGTCTTGTGTTCCCAAGTCACATGTATAAGGGGACAACTTGGTTTAGGTCTTTTATCACTTTGTTATCTGCGTCTTGGTTTTAATTATTGTGCTGATATTTCACTGTTTCATTATAAGTTGTATCATTAGATATATTTCTTCTCCTAGTTGGATATATGTTTGTCAGTTTCAGAATAGTGCATTTGGAATTAGAAGTGTTAGTTCTTATGTTCTTCTGTATCCTAAAATGTAGAAGAATGTCTCAGATTTGTGTACAGATCATTTGAATCTTGTTTTGGTGAGGGTTGTGTTTTTCATTTTGAGAAACACCTTTGGAATAGGCTTTTCTTATTTATTTGTGTATTGTGTTCCCAAGTCACATATATAAGGGGGACAACTTGGTTTAGGTCTTTTATCACTTTGTTATCTGTGTCTTGGTTTGAAGAATTGTGCTCATATTTCACTGTTTCATTATAAGTTATATCATTAGATATATTTCTTCTCCTAGTTATATGTTTGTCAGTTTCAGAAAAGTGCATTTGGAATTAGAATTGTTAGTTCTTATGTTCTTCTGTATCCTAAAATGTAGAAAAATGTCTCAGATTTGTGTACAGATCATTTGAATCTTGTTTTGGTGAGGGTTGTGTTTTTCATTTTGAAGCGCAATCAAGTCATTTATGTGATTGTCTTTCCTAATCTTGATAATCTCAGAGGGAGTTTTGATGACTTGGCTGACTAAGAATATTTCATCACGCTCCACATTACGTCTTTCAGCATTAGTATGCTTTTGATGTGGGTAAGGGCATGTAGAATTTAGGAGCAAACGTGAATAAGCATCGTTTTTCTGTTTGTCACGTTTCCTCTATGTGAATTGTATGTTGGATTTCAATTCTGTTTTGAAGTGATGTGAATAAAGGCATGTAGTAGTCATTATGCTATATATTGTGTTTCCTAATTGGACTTTTTCTATATAGTTTCAGAGATTGCAAGATTACGTGGCCAAATAAAAATCTTGCAACTGCCCTATATTACGTATTTTCTGAATAATATGGTGTAGATGTGGATAAAAGGCAAGGCATATAGAGGAAAATTTGCTACTCATTTGTTGGTTTGTCACATATTTCCTGTTTTACGGATAAAATAGGATTTAATGTTATGTAACGTAACTTTATTTTTTTATATAAACTCCTAAAGTGTTACCTTATTGTGTTATTTAACTTATTATGATTATGTGCGAGATCATCCTTCCAAGTTACTTGCTCTAATGCAATGATGTATTGCACTTGATTGACCTGTTATTCATCTGCGGTGAACGATTGCTAGTACTTGTTGAGGTTGCACTATATGGCTTTCAATTAGAGCAAATAAGGTCATAATATTTTGTAGTTAATTTGCAAGGCATAAACCATTGGCTGTAAAGTTGAATCTTATGTGTGCTTTATGCCCGTTACAAAGTTAGTCATATGCTAAGTAGTCTATACACAATTTCTAAACGAGAGCAGTGCTTAAAGACTATATAAGATTTTTAATACCTCGCAGTCTGATTTAGATCCCTTCGTTGTTTTTTTTTCCTTTCTCTTTCAAACTGTTGGTATATTATGCTTTAGGCAAGCTCGGGATATGTATTTGCCTGGGTATTTCTATTTAGCTTATGCTTATAAATCCACATATTTTTCGGACTATTTGGAATTGGCCTGGGCCTGAAAGAGCTAAAGTTTATGGAAGATTGCTCAAGGTGCCCTACTAATATTTTTATCTTCCACACTTCCACAAGGGTCTCTATCTAAAACCATATTGCATATTTTCAGGGATTGTCGTTTTCTTTTTTGCCCCATTGCATCCATCAACTTTTGGAACCAAGACATTTTACATTTATATGACTCGGAACTCACTTTATCACAACTGGCGTCTAACTTTTGGTTTCAACAGAAAGTGGGAATTTGATATTTATATTCCACTCAAGGACAGCCCACTTTACTAGCCATATGACTTTTATAATGCAGCAAGATAAGCTCCTCTCCCATCCCCCCGATAGAGCTCAGAAAGCCTTTTCTTGATTCATGCCTAATCTTAGTTAAAATTCCAATATCCAGGGCCTTCACTAATCTCAACATTGAGATTGTAGTTTCCTTTGTTAACAAAGGATGTCACACATTGCATCCTTCTATCCCCTTGTAAAGGATATCAAAGATTTGTTCTCAAATTCTACTACCTCATGTGTTCCCATGTTTTTTGCAAGATTAATTTTGCTGTTGATACCCTAGCTCGCTGAGGTTTTATTTTTTATATATATATTTTTTAATGTTCCTCCCGACCTCCTAGCTATTCCGCTGCTAGCTGATAACAACCACCCTTTTCTTACGTTAATATCTCTGTTTCGGCCTTTGTGGTCCCTCTCGATAAAAAGAAAAGTAAGCGCGGCATATGAATCGTGCGTTTTTTTATTAATCATGTTTTTTTTTTGTTGTTTAGGGCAAATTACACACTTTTCTTACAAACAGGAGTAATTTCACACTTCTTTGAAGGATTGGTTTTGTCATAATGCAAAGCTCGAGGAAACAATAAAGCTATTTCAACACAGCATTGTATCAGATGCCTTTATTATTATTATTATTATTTGCTTGTTGTTGAACTCATTTTTTCTTGGTTGTGTTAAACGTTGCAAGTATATTGTAGTTGATATTTTTTTTAATAATAAAATATGTTTATTATTATGCTCGTGGATGTAGGTCTACATGACCGAACCATGTTAATATTTTGTCTCCATTCTTTAAAGTTTTTAACATGTTTCATATGGTTTAATATTTTGCACTATTTTTTATTTTATTAGGTTTTTCGTTTTAGGGTTTGGACTTTGGCAGGACTTGAGAGCACACTCATTTAAAGTTTTTTTTTAATAATTGTGTTATCAGTGGGAATATTTATGGTTTTTGTATTAATTTTTGTCAAGAAACTTGTTTGGCCAACATTAGTGGGAATTTCTTCTCAATTATGGTTTTTTAAATGATTTGATTTTGAAATTTTACTCATGTTTCTAGTTTTACTTAGGTTATTGAGTAATTGTTATTTCAAATAAATGTTTTTAATCCAATTTTAAGATTTGGAATTTATTGTGATGTTTTGTTGTAACTTATTTTTGTCTAAGATGCACCGCAAGATACGATATTATTCAAAAAAAAGAATATTACATCTGTCAAAAATATAATAATCACATGCAAATTGAATCAGATTTCATATCTTACAAAATATGGTTGGTATAAAGATTGTTTTTCTAGTTGGCAATCAAAGTGGAGTAAAGAGAGTAAAAAGTTTGATAAATAGTCGGTGACTTGATACTAGCATTGCTATCTATGTTCTTATAAAAAAGGGGTTATTTCTATTGGTAGTATAAAAGAAACATAGTCATAACTCATAACCAATAAATAATATATAAAAATTAACTTCGTAAGATTTTGTTAAACTAACATTCTATTATTCTATTGATAGGACAAAAGAAACATAGAAAATATAATATTTGTATGTAGATATATGGAACTGCAATTTGATTTACTAATAACCCGAGATCGAAAATTAACGAGCTGATCCTTGAATTCTTTAGGGCAATGTTGGGAACATTATATAGAGAAATGCAGTATGACACACACTCGTTCCAATTTGCTCATGAACAAATCATGTTATTTTTTTTATGGGTGTGTGCGACTTTCCTTGATCAAAAGAAAAACAGCAACAAGCACAGGAGTTAAGATGATGAGGAGAGCCAGCACAAGGTTGGGAGTGGTTATCTCAGGGAAGAGAGCGCTTCCATACTTGATCGCTGCCCCACCCGCAAAGGAACCCGCCACTAGTTTTCCCACGTACACTAAATCCTCCTATTATACATCAACAAATGGATCAATCAATAATGCTTCGGAAGGAAATTCATTTAATTAATAAAAAATAAATTGTACTTTAGAAGAAGAGGATGTGGAATTTTGATCTTCTAGAGCTCGAGCAACAACACAAGAAGACCACCTTGTGACGCGAATTGGCATTGCAATTTGGAGGAACAAGGGCGTGTTTGGCGAGTTAACTTTGTGTCTGTGGTTGTCACACAAAACCCTCCAACTCTTACCTATATCTGAAACTGCCATATCTATCTTTTCTTTTCTCTCGCCACACCAGCCACAAACAGTTACATGTTAGATTACATACGGAAATAAAATAGACACCACAGTTCATGGGCTACTAAATGAAGGCCCAATACCAACCAAGGCCCATTAACGGTTACAATTTTATCCCCATAATGCCCCGCTCGTTTTACCGGCGGTGGAACAGAAAGCGAGATAACGCAATCTGAGTCTGAGTCCGAATCTGAAACTGAAACCTTCGTGTTCGTGTTGTATCGAAACCCTAATCGGGAAATTGAATTGTTGAAGGGGAGATCAAGATGGTTCTGGCGGAGTTAGGAGGGAGCATTTCGCGTGCTCTCCAGCAGATGAGCAATGCGACGGTGATCGACGAGAAGGTGCTCAACGATTGCCTCAACGACATCACTCGCGCTCTTCTTCAATCCGATGTTCAATTCAAGCTCGTCCGCGACATGCAGACCAACATCAAGAAGATTGTCAACCTCGATGATCTCGCTGCCGGTCACAACAAACGCAAGATCATCCAACAGGTACTTTTTTTTGTTTCTTCTATTCCAACTAATGAGTGAATAAACGCTTATATGTTTGTTATTGCTCATGGTAGTAACTCTTTCTGGATTATGCTTTATTTGCAGGCTGTGTTTAACGAACTCTGCAAAATTCTGGACCCTGGGAAGCCCTCTTTCACTCCGAAAAAGGGGAAAACAAGTGTTGTCATGTTTGTTGGTTTGCAAGGTGTGTTGTAAGTTTGCATTTTATGATTCTGTTTGTTCTGGACTTTTGTTATGTCATGTACTCGGCATTTATGCATTATCCTCAGTAATTTGTAGCATTTCTCAGCTTTTGTTGGTTGTTTTGTTCTTTTTAAACAAAGAAAATACTTTATTATTGTTGATAGTTACTTGTATGTTTTTAAAATGAATTCAGGTTCTGGAAAAACCACTACGTGTACAAAATATGCATATTATCATCAGAAGAAAGGCTGGAAGCCAGCTCTAGTATGTGCAGATACGTTCAGGGCTGGTGCATTTGATCAATTGAAGCAAAATGCGACTAAAGCTAAGATCCCTTTCTATGGAAGGTACTCATTGGCATTTGTTATTGGTTAATATTTATTGTGTGCTCCGATATATTATTTTTGCCTTATTGATGAAGAATTTGATGGTGGAGATGGTTGAACACCTGAGCTAAATGGTAGATTAAAGATTTGTGGTTAGTTATGCAACATATATCCCTCCTGATGACAAAATCATGGTTATGGATGTTGATGAGCACAACTGAAGTTTTATTTCTGTATGACTTACGTCATAACTGCTTTCTAGTTTTTATGTTAATTTTGAAACTACGTAATAGGATTTTCCAAGGGGTCTGACTGGTTCTTTTTGGAGATTTATAATGAAGATTGACTTCTAGAAAAATGGTCTGCAGTTATAGAATGGTTCTTTGGAAGAATATTGATTTATATTGGGCAATGCATCCCAAGCTTATGCTTACCTAAGTACTTTTAGTCACTGTTAATTGAGGACAAGGTTATCAATGATGATTGATGAGCAAAATCACCTTTGACAATTTCAAGTCTGAGGCATGTAATTGACAGCCCATTAAAGAAGAGAGTGAAAAACAAAAGGAAATTGCTAGCCCATTAAAGATATATGGGTAATTTGGAAGATATTATATTACCACCATACAGCAAACTTATAATGTTCCCCCTCCCCCAGAGGATATTTGTTTAGTCTTGTCTCACGATTTCACATTTTCCCTGTTTTAATCTGTATTTATGAAAGGGGGCATCTATATTGAAACAATTTTTATTCTTGCTTTAAGTCCTTGAAGATAAACTATGTATGATATGCTGTGCTCAGTATTATTTGTTTATGAAACCTTCTATGTTAGTTGCATTTTTATTGTCTTTGATTTCAATGCACAAGTAATTATTGCACTGTTGTGCCCCCCATTTCTCTACAGCTATATGGAGTCCGATCCTGTAAAAATTGCTGTGGAAGGTGTGGAGAGATTCAAGAAAGAAAATTGTGATCTTATAATTGTTGATACTAGTGGGAGGCACAAACAAGAAGCTGCGCTTTTTGAAGAAATGCGCCAAGTTTCAGAAGCAACGGTATTTCCCATTCTTTCTTTTTTTGATGTTTATTTGCAAAGCCCATTAAATGCTAATATATTTTTTTTGCATTGTTCAGAAACCAGATCTTATTATATTTGTTATGGATAGCAGTATTGGTCAAGCTGCTTTTGATCAAGCGCAAGCATTTAAACAGAGTGTTGCAGTTGGAGCTGTAATCATTACCAAGATGGATGGCCATGCAAAAGGTGGTGGTGCTCTTAGTGCGTAAGTCTTACTGCGAGAATTGTATAATATCTACAATCAACTTTTGCAACTATGAATAAGTAAATTTAACAATTAGTAATCTTACGTGAAAATGAACAGGTGTATTTAAACTAGTATAATGCACTTGTCTAGCAATTATAAATGCAGTGTATTGCAAATTTTCCAACCTAAATATGAACTACTGATTTAAATCTTACATTTACGCAACAAAAATTAAAATTTACATCATCAAAGGGATTTGAAAATTAATATTATAAATGGATGTGTTTGCTTATATTTTTCTGTATATATTTATTATGTGGTTTGGGTACCTTACTCTTAATTTTATAAGTGCAGTGTTGCAGCTACAAAGAGTCCTCTCATATTCATTGGAACTGGAGAACATATGGATGAGTTTGAAGTTTTTGATGTTAAGCCATTTGTCAGTCGTCTATTAGGTGTGTATTTTTTTTCTTCTTTTTTGATCTCACCCAGTACATTATTATTTTATCAAGAACATGGTATGGGTGTCCAAGTTCCTATAAATATTTATTCTTTAGTCATCTCAAATGGCTTTTGAACTAGGAATGGGTGACTGGTCTGGGTTTATGGACAAAATTCATGAAGTTGTTCCTATGGATCAACAACCAGAACTTCTTCAAAAGCTGTCAGAAGGAAACTTCACCTTGAGGATTATGTATGAGCAGTTTCAGAACATAATGAAAATGGGTCCTATCAGCCAGGTTATTACTTATTACCTTATTATGTGTTCAATTGAATTTTTTTTCTTGATAAATTTACATTTGATGTGCCATACAAAGATAGTTATTACCTTCACTAATTTCCTGGTTGATTTATGTAGGTGTTTTCTATGCTTCCCGGATTTAGTTCCGAATTAATGCCAAAAGGCCGTGAGAAAGAAAGCCAAGCAAAAATTAAGCGTTACATGACAATGATGGATTCAATGACAAACGAAGGTACGCGTATGTTTTGATTGTTGTGAAGATCAGCTTTGTGTACACATGATTCGGGTTCTCTCATTGGAATTCCGAATTACACATCCTCACATGCTGACTTTTAATTGGTAAAATGTTTCAGAGTTGGATAGTTCAAACCCAAAGCTGATGAATGAATCACGTATGATGCGAATAGCTCGAGGTTCAGGTCGTCTAGTTAGGGAAGTGGTGGAGATGATGGAAGAGTACAAACGTCTTGCAAAGATATGGAGCAAGATGAAAGGGCTTAAAATACCAAAGAAAGGTGACATGAGTGCCCTGTCCCGAAACATGAATGCCCAGCACATGGGCAAAGTCCTCCCTCCGCAGATGCTCAAGCAAATCGGTGGCATGGGCGGCTTACAAAACTTGATGAAGCAGATGGGATCTGCCAAAGACATGATGGGAATGGGAGGATTGTTTGGTGCTGGTGATTAGTTGATTGCCTTATTAGTGTCGGATTGTTGCAATAGCCTTAATTTCATTTTCCTGTGTATAATTACTTATTTAGTCTAGGAGCCATCGAAGTAAAATCTTACTAGAAATTGTCATAGTCAAGTAACATTAAAAACAAAGGCTATATTGTTTTTTTTTTTTTTAATATTGATTGATGGAAGAGGCGAGGAGGTTTAAATCCAGGTATTTGATTTGTCGATTACGATTGATGGGAGCAATTGTGTTAACCACATCGACTCCAACTATTCATAGCAATTTTGGCAGAACAATAAACGTTTGAAATCAGCTTAAAAGCACAAGCAGGGCACTTTCTAATTATTGGTTTACTAAATGTGATTATCAGCTCGGAAAGAATGCGATTCGCGCAGTGATACCAAACAGGTCAAAAAATTATAGACTATATTAACAGACAAGTAACTAGTATAGAACATGCTATATGCTATCTTTCTAAAAACTTGCTTAGAACGGTTTTTTGCAAATGAATTTCTTCGCCTTCCCCTTCCTCTTCAGAATTGATATTTGCATTTAGAGCACAACGAAGAACGGCATTGATTTGTTTCCTTAAACTGGCATTGTCTACAAACATATGCGCCAGCATCTTCCTCAGTTCATCATAAGTTTTCCCAGTATTGTCTTTACTTACATCACGGGTCTCTTCCACAGCAACAACAGCATTCTCTACATCTTGTGCTAAGAGCTGTGCCTGTTTGCATATTTGCAGACAGCAGTAACCAAAACAGTGAGTAGAGAGGGCAGTAAATAGAAGGCTGTATATGTATAGGGTAGCATGCAGTAAACATAGTATAACCACAATGATAATTGCCATGAACTCTCAGAATCTTGTCTGAGCAAAATTGAAGAGATGCCTTTCTTTTCTATTGAAATAATTTAATTGGACAGGACTCCACACACAAAAGACACAAGCATATTGAACATATCATGAGCACTTAAAGAAGCATAATTTGTAAACACAGAATAAAATCCGGACCAGCAAAAATAGCCTCCCCGTGTATTTTCTAAAGTGCCCCAGAAAATAAATATCGAAAGACAAAATTATTGCTCAAGGTGCATATCATACCTCTGCAAGCAAGAGACCAATCCGATTATCTGATGTTGCTAATAAATCCAAAGCATCAGATGGTAAAGTGTCGATATTTAGCTTATCTTCCTCTTCAACAAGGAAATTTACACTGCACTCCCGAAGCCTCTTCTGAAGGATTGCACACTCATGCAGCAACTTTGCATTAGCATTATGTGAAATTTCCATTCTTTGCTTTTCCTTCTGAAAAACTCTCTGAATAAGAGCAAAACAATACCATGAAATCAATTGGATTTCCAAACTTTTAGGACATCACAGAACAAAATATTTGAACCATCTTTCATTAAAAAAAATGAGAAAAAAAAAGGACAAGAAATTTCAAATTTGTGCGAATAAAAAATGTAAAAAGAAATCTAGAAGGAACTGGTTGAAATAGATTAATTATGTCTATTCTCCCCCTGCCTCTCAGAAACCAATGGAATCAGTCATATTGATATGTTCCTAGTTTAAATTATAAAAAATAATCAAATAAAAAAGTCTTTCAGTGCTAGTTTTGCAACATACAAAAAACAGAAGTACCATACCTCCAAATCTAACTTCTCCTTCATCAATTCACTAAGCTGCTGCTTCAGTTCTTTCTCAGAACTTCTAAGGGATTTTACCTCCTTTATCAGAACCTTCAAATCTGTCTTTGATTTCATCTCAAACTCATCATGATGTTTCTGCAAGTGCTTAAGTTGTTCTCTAGTTACATCTAGCTCTTGCTGCAACATTTGCTTCTCCTGAATGACAGATGCTTTTGTAGATTCTGCTAGCAGCCTTTCATCCTAAGTCATTATATCCTCACTTAAGTCCACCAAAATGGAATGATAAGAGATGTTGATTAAAGTAAATTATCACTACAGACCTCTTCTAACTTCAATTTCATTTCTGTCTCCAGGCAGTTCCTCCGAAGTTCCTCTATATCCCACTGCATTTGTGTAAATCTTTCCTTTTCAGTTAAAACAGCCTGCTGCATGTTTTCTCGGCAGTTCAGTCGAGTTGTTTCAAGTTCAACTTCTAAATCCTTGACCTACAAGTAAAATGAAATATTTAAACATTATAACATAACATAAAACAGTCCAATAAAACATCAACACTACTTTCCATTTTTCCATCATTGAGAGTTAACTTGTTTCAACATAAATAGCAATCTCTACTCAGTTAACAGCAACAAAAGAAATACTACTAACACCGATCTTAATTATAACAAAAAAAATTGAATTTTTCTTTGATATTAATTGTAAGCAACAATCATTAGTGTTTAAAATTATTCAGGGTTAAATTTTTTTTATACCATTCATTTATTGTTAAGTCTATTTCTTATGCATTCACTTATAATAGCTAACATTAAATATGACAATCACTTAAAGTAAAAGATATATTTGGAATAAAACTTAAATTTATGGCAGAGTTAATTAAAAGTAACCATATTAATAACTTTTCTTGGTCTTGATAATTTGTTATATATTGCTTATAATTAGGACCCGAGGTAATATGTTTTTATCAAAGAACACTTTCTACTACTGCATTATGCAACTCAATCCATCACAAGGTGAAAAATATAACCTCATTTTTTTTAATTAATTGCAAATTATGTTCCTCTAATACATATTTAGCCCATTAAAGAAAATCCTTTCGAACATTACAAATTCTGTCCTTAGTTTTTTAGACAAATGCAGAGAAAATAGACAAAGCCTTGAAAATCTAATTCTGCCATAATTTCCAATTTCATTGTCCAATATTACATCAGGGCAAAAAATTAAAGGGAACTTTATAATTAGCATAACGATTTTGATCATAAACTTAATTTAGGAACTTGAGAACACTATTTACTGATTGGTCATTAAATTTGACAGATACTGAAACCAGGATAATGGAAGCCATGGACTTCTAATAATATATCCTGCGGACAATACTTAGGCTAGCTCATTCTGTGCAGTGTATACTCAAACAACAAAGTTTTCTGCTGATCTCCTCGTTAGCATAAAAGTCCTCTACTAGCCTGATCTGAAAAACAACTTATTCAACAGAGTTCAAATACAGAACAGAAGATTTGATCCATAATGAACCAACATAAAAATTAATTCGGCTGGTAAATGGCAGTTGATGACTTTAAGTACAGTACTGCCACAAATGACTATTGAGTATCATAAAGACTAAAAAGTATCAACAGTCATGAAATTCTGACTTTCTGATAGCAATGTGCTGAATATGTACCACCTACACATAACTACATCTATGACATTGCATTGGTTCTAGGTTTCAGGAACTGGGAACAAACATTCTTGCAAGGAAAAACACCATCCAGAAGAAGATTTATCCTAACTACATTTTGAAAAACAAATAAAAGTGACAAATGAAAATATCTATTTCAAAATATAGTAATAAATGAAAAATTTTAAACATGCACTGGATACCTTTGTCACAAGATATTGTCTTGCAGCCATTTCTTGATTCAATCTAGCTACAAGATCTTCAACATCTGCTTTTGCAGTGGCCAGTCTCTGTTTCTGGGCATTGAGAATTTTGTTCAACTTGTGCCGCTCATCCAATTGAAAAGTCAACAATAAATCTGTGCTTCCAGAGTGTTCATGTCTCCCAGTAAAGTCATGTGAAGCATCTTGAACCAAAGTGGTCATAGTTAAATTTGATGTTTCAGTATGCCTTAAATTACTTGTGTCACTTCCAATGCTTTCTGTTGACAGTCTCTTCACATGAGCATTCAATTTATAATCTCGCATTGCAGGTGTAAACTCAGTTCCATCCAGGTGAAGCGTTATAGCATCAGCAGCATACTCGGTAACTTTGTCTGTACTATCATTGTTATAAACAAAGTCTTCACTAGATGTGGCATGATCAGCAGCTGTTTCAGTTGCATTAATTAAGTCATGTTCTGATGTTGAACTATCCCTGATTTGATCAGAACGCTTATCCTTTTCATGTTGCAGAGCTCCCAGCTCAGAAACTTCATCATTACCAAAAACAGATGCAGCGGATGAACTATGAGCAGTTACAGAACCAGACGAGTACTCTCGGAACACTTGTGAAGCTGTTGTAGCTTCATCCGAAATATGCTCATTCACACTATGGAATGCTGGAAAATATCAGCAACAAAAGGGAGTTAAATGCTTGTGCAACATCATGATGAACCGTTTTTTATACTCTTTCAAGTAGTATAATAAATAAAGAACCAGCTAAAATTAAAAAATCTAACACAAAAAAAGGCAAAATGTTATTGTGTTCAAGTTAGTGAGGAAAACTGAAAAAAACATATAAATACATGATCTAGCAGCAGCTTCTAGCTCGAGAAACATGGCCACCGGGGCACTTCTTGATACATCAATGTCCGACAACAACTTTTCCATCCAATCCGCTAACAAAAGCCGTCGCTGAAATTACGCAATTTGTCAGCATCAAACAGAGTCATTTGTTCAAACGGACAAACATCACGCTATGCACCTACATACCTCTTCCAAAACAGTGTGGCTTTTAATTCTCATCATCTTTTTTGGTGGAGGCGGCGGCAGATTTTTCGCGGCAAATTCTTTCTTCAGCTGCAAAAGCAAATAGTGAAATTAACTTCTCTCCGCACAATAGAGAGCATAGAAAAACAAATAGACTTACTTCAGCAAAGAGGTTCAAGAAATCACTAAATCTGCGTAATATCATTCGAGTAGTGGTGATTGCTTCGGGGGATTGTACACCGAGTTGAACCCTAAAATACTACCAAAAAAAAAACTAAGAACGTTATTGAAATGAAGAAAGAAAATGTATAGAAAGAGGTTTGGGGAATGGAATATATATATATATACTAACGATAACGGGATCGGAAGGTGAGGGTTGTGGAACGGTGAGCCACGAAGGAAGCGTGACGCAGAAGCTCCAACCGTTGGGAGGATGACGTGGCCAAACGGTGTTGCGTCCTTCCCAATTGCGCGGAGGAAGGCTCCAATCCATGCCGAGTGGGAGAGGGGAGGTTCCGTCGTGGTGGCGGGCATGATTGGTGGTTGGGGCCAGAACGGTGTCGTTTGGAAAGAGATCGTGGTCGTAAGTGTAAGGATTGTCGAGATTGAAATTGAAATTGAAATTGTGGTCGAACAAAGGTAATTCGTGACCCAACCAATTCATTCTTTCTTTCTACTTTCTTCTTTGCCCTTTGCTTTGCTGCAATGCAACTTCTACTCACCACTATCAACCTCAACCTCAACTCTACTATTGCAAATATTAAATATATTTTATATGAAACCTCACATTGCTCTTACTAATTCCATTGTAAATCTTTAAAAGAGGTTGCTGCTTATGTCTTGTCCTATCTAAATTTTTATGTTCTAAAAGAAAATATACTTTTACAATTTTATTTCCAAGATAATTCTCTTGAAAGTCTGTTCCTCAATTTTATTCGAACTTGAAGAAAATTCTTTTATAAGGTTTATATACTTATTTAAAATTAAAATTAAAATATCTATATTTAAAGATGGTTTTTTATTAATTATTAATATCATTTTTTTGCTTGTTTCTTCAACAATAATGTTTTAAAGTTTTTTTAAATTTGATATCATTTTTAATATATTTTTAAATTTAAAAGATGTTAATAGTTAATAAATGGTCTTATTACAATCTAAATTATTTATTATAATTATAATTATAATTTAATATTCAAAAAAAAATATTTATTATAAATTTTTATCATAGTGAATTTGATTTAATCTATTTTGCTTCATAGTTAATGTTAAGAATTCTGGTTAGATTTTAGCATGGTTTGATGTGTATAATAGCAATTTTAATGTTAAATTGCTTAAAAGAGATATCCATTTAACAATATTTTACTCCAATGCATAAGTTTTATGAGAGTTCTTAATTTATTTATGTGGGTCTTGTATTTATGTTGGTAAAGCCACCGAAAAAAAAATTAAGGTATATAACTTCTTCTTTTTTATTAAAAAACTTAGATGAATTGAGTTTTTATAAAGATACTTACAAATTATCTAATAGTAAGATCTTTACATTAATGAGATTTAAATTCACATCCTTTTAAAATGTGAGTCATTTTTTTATTATCTAGACTAACCTTTATTTGTTGCATATATAAGTTATGATGTTTGATAATTATTTACATGTGGTTTCCACATAAATGTGTTTCAACATGGAAAACAAGTAAGAAATGTACGAGTTCTTAACTTTAAAAACTGAATTGGAAACGAGTGTTGAAGATGATCTAAGACTATTTATTGCTCAAGAATTTGTTTCACACCATTTTCAAAACTTCCCATATAGCTAAATGATACTATCATTTATTTGTGTTAGAATATAAAGTTTTGTTTTATTCTTGTTTGGCAGAGCTAGTATTTCTTGAATAGCAGAGGAAATGATTTGTGTCATTTGATCCCTTATGGGACTCGCTTCGTAGGGTGAATGTTTTCGTATTTCAAATATCCCAATTCTTAGGAATATCTAAAATTTATGGTCCCTTTGATATTAGAAAATAAATTTAAAAAAAAAAAAAAGGACAGAGTAAAGTGATTGTTTCATATTTGTATTGTCCTTCAATTTGTATCAAACACACCTTTAACATTTTGATAAAAAAAAAAAAAAAAAAAAAACATGTTATGATTGTGATAATTGTAAGTTTTGTTAAAATGTGCTTTTTCATAAACGTGATGTTTAAACCACAATATAAATATATTTATAATAAGAGAAATATTGGTAAAATATTTTTTAATACTTTATTTTTAATTATTTTATTATAAGATAAAAAAATTTACCAACTCATCAATAAGGATGTGTTTCGACTATAAGTTTGTTGGTAACATTAGGGTATGTCTGAGATATTGTCTGTTTTGACGCTTGTTAAATAGTCATGATTTTATCCTTTAAAAGGTGTCTTGACGAGTTAAGGAGAAAAAGTGTTTATAAATTATCTTCAATCTCAACTCCTAAATAAAGTGAGACTTTATGATTTTGTCCCTTAAAAGACACATCAACAAGTTAAGAAAAGAGGGTATTTATAAACTATTCTTAATCTCGGCTCCTAAGTGAACTGAAACTTTTAGACATACTAAAACAAGTCTTCAAGTTGAGAATAAGGAGCAAGAGTGGCCTAGGCCACTTCTTCTAGCAACAATGTTTTGACCATAAGTTTGCTAACATCGTTAAGATTATTGTATCTAAGTATTATCCGCTTTGGTACTCGTTGGATCATCACAATTTGTCTCTTAAAAGGTGTTTCAATGAGTTAAGGAGTGAGTGATTATAAACTATCCTTAGCTTTGACTCCTAAGTAATATGAGACTTTTAGACATATTGAAACAAGCTCATAAGTCAAGGCTGAAGGGCAAGAGTGGCCTAGGCCTTCTTTCTAGTGATAACAACCTCCACCTATTCCTACCTTACTCTCATAACAAGTATGATTATCACACTCCAACCACGAGAAAAATGCAAAGACAAGGTTGGATTCAAAAGAAATTATATAGTATAGAAGTATTAAACTAACTATACAACAACTTCAGCATACCACATACACTTACAATTATTTAACACAACATGTGATCAACATACTAGCTCATTCAACAACACACATGTAATCAATTTAGTAGTTCACAACACAATTATTTACAACATAACAACTTTACAATGTAACAACACACGTCAACTTTCATACACACATCGAGTTCACAACATATCAACACAACTACATGATGCATTATCACACATTTCAACTAAAAAATTTCTTACAACATAGGTGAACATTTTAAATAGTTTGACCCTATCGAACCAACTTAACAACACAATTTTTTTGGACTTGTTAGATCAACAATCCATTCCTAGTGCCATTTTCCACATGCCTAGCATCATTGAGGTAGAGAACCTCAGCTCACCTAAGCCCGATGTCATTGCACTTGCGCTCAACATGGATTAGGTAGATAACCCATGTGGCAATCACACTTGGTGTAGCTAGACCTATGTACAACCTCATTCAAGCAGAGAGCCTTTGTTTGATTCACGCTCGGTGCCATTTGACTTGTGTCTGTCGTCATCTAGGAAGAGAGTTATTGCCTTGATCACACATAATCCCACTTAACTAGGGTTTGATATCACCAAGTTAAAGAGCTCTCAAGGCAACCACGCCTAGCACCCCTCAACCCATGCCTGGAGTGACCAAGTTAAAGAGTTCTTCACTAACTCACGTTTGACGCCACCAATCCTTTGCTTGGTATTAGTGAGGTAGAGAGCTTCTAGCCTACATCACGCTCGATGCCATGAAGTTGCATGGTGATTTATGCACTAGGGATAATCACAAATTGAACTTATGAAGTTCATGTCAATATGGGAGGAATTTGTGAAGTTCAAAAGAAAGATGGTTATCCTTTGACTCCAAAGTTTCTATCTCCAGCTTCTCTTTAACTTTTTTAAGAAAATGAACTTATGAAGTTCATGTTTTAAGAAGATCCCATATGCCTTCCTCTAAACTTGGTCAATGTAAAACTTGTATGTAAGTGTCTATAGATAAATAAATAAAATTAGTGTTTACTTAAAAATTAGAAAAGTGTGAATAATAATATAAAAAAAATATATATTAAGGAAAGTGAGCACAATTTCTCCTTTTTTTTAAAGACTAAATAAAAGTAAAATTAAAAAAAATTAAAACCGGAAATATATTTGACATAAATAAATATATAAAATCAAATTACAATAACATCTTTTGTGGTTTATTTGTTATTCTCTTCCACATGAAAGATAGTGTTGTTTTTCAATCTCTTTTTCAAACGGGAAAAAAATGGTGAGCCACTGACCACTCAGCGATGCAGGAGAAGTGGGGCCCTGTGCCTACGTCCTCAATTTTTTAATCCCATTATTATTAAAATATATTCGATTTTTCTTTCATGTAATTTTTATTTTTTATTTGCTATTAATTTTTCATTACTAACATTTTAGTTTATATAATACTCGCAGTGAATATTTATTTATATAATTATTTTTTTTAAAATTTTAATATATTTTATATTTATAGTTAATACTTTATATTTTAATATAATATTATTTTTAATTTTTATAACTTATTTTAAAAATATTAAAATATAATTTTAAAAATATTAAAATATAATTTTAAAAATATT